GGGGATGTGGGGGGGACTTGGTGAATTGGGGAGCCTAGTAAACATAATGTCCTTCATGTAATTGTAGATTAATGATACCAAAATTAAAAAATTTAAAAAAAAACTGGGACTTTCAGTTGCAAATTGGCAGCTTTAATCCAGTAGAAAAAAAGCCACAACCTTGCAGACAGAGGCTCCACCAGTCAAAGATGCATCTCATGGAGCTTCACCAGAGACAAAGCTCACACTGCCTGCTCATCCTGTGCTCCCCCAAAAGGAAGTACCTTGCTAAGCTGCCTCCTCTGATTTTCTGTCTTCACCTCCCTACCCCTTTCTCTGCTGGGGATGAGCAGGCAGAGGCTCCTCTGTGCTACCCTTTGTCTGGAATAAAAGAAATGGGTGACCAAGGGCTGTGGGCTGGTGTGGGTAAAATTGTAGTATTTCCAGAATATTTTGCCTAGCGTTAGTGTATCTGCATATCAACAGGCATTCCTCAGGGTGGAGAGAAGTTCGTCTCCATATCAGCGGGCAATTACCTGGGTGACTGAGGGCTTATCTGAACCTGAGAGGTGAGGGAAAGGTCTTGCTGGTTTCTGTCAGAGCAGGAAAGAGATGGCCTTGGAGTACAGTTTGTAAGCAATAAACAAGTTTTAAACTTTATTTCTCCCTTTGACTGATATTGATTTTAGAGGCATTTTGCCCCCAGATTTCCTCTCCCTGGAGTTCCAGCTGATTTTCTGAGTCCCAGCATTTTATCAGAGCTTGCAGAGTTGTGCTGCAGAGCACATGCCACAACTGCTCCACCAATAAACAGACACTCCACCAACCCCTCCCTTCAAAAAGCAGACCTCTCTTACCTTTCAGGGAATTTTCTTGGGTTCTCCCCTGTAAGTTCCAGGGCAGTTCCATGTACTCTATGTACCCATGTAACTACCTCTTCATGCACCATTTTTGCTTCGTTAACAAATTTTTCTTTTTGGACTCAGGCCATTGCTGTTATGAATTCATCCCCAGGCAGCGTCTGTCCCTCCCTAAATGCTGGGTGGGGCCCAGCATTAGCTAAAGGCCCCAAGCACCTTTGGGTTGTTGTGTCAAACCAGCCCAGCCTTGCCTAGTCATTAACAGAGGAAGCTTGGGGCTGAAAACCCTGGGACAGAGAGGAGAGAGGTTTCTCTGAGCGTTGGCTGCACCTATAGACCCAAGGTGCAGCTAAAAAGCTCTCATTCTCTTTTCTGCTTCCTCAGAAGTCAGCTAGCAGCCCTGCCAACTCCCATCCCAGCCTCAGCCATGATAAGGAGAGGCTTCCAGGCAGCAGCAAGACTTGGCCACCATAGAGCCTTTCCTGGTGCTCCCTGCATTTTGCCCAGACTCAGCCCTGCCTCAGCATTTGGATCGTCCACGGACTCCCTGGTGAGTGAGGTACCAGCTCAGCCAGACAGGCAGCCCTTCTCCTGACCTAGACCATAAGGAGCACCCCAATTCTCTTCTTCCCAGATCATGACTAGAGCAGGTGGGCAGTGTGTCCAGGAGCTATTTGATTTGGCAATGAGGTATTCTTGGGATACCAAGTAGCCCACATCCAACACTAAGTCCACCAGGACACTTTGGTCCTAGTCTGAAATAGTGTGGTCACCAATGAATCACTGTGCTATTATGGGACTCAGGCAGTTGCAGCTGAGTTTGGGCATTGATAGGTGGAGGACCCTGTGTGTGATCTTAGCAAGCAGCTGGCTTATTGCCCACAACTGTGATTGGTACGTGAGCATTTGATGCCATAGAGGACTTTCCCTCATCCCACAGATGGTACCCCACCTCTGTGGGTGACCAACACATGTTTCAAAGGAACCACACTGCCCAGGCAGACCCACAGCTGTGGACAGAGCTGGAGTAGCCCCAGAGGTGAGAGGGCAGTAACAATGGTCCTCACCCACTGTGGTGCAACCACAGGGTAAACAGCATCTCAGAAAGGGCTCTAGTCTGACCATCAGCTGTCATCCTCACACGCTTGGCAGGCTTAGCCATATTTCCTGTTTCCCATTTATTCAGTGGGGCTAATACTAGCAGCTCTCAGCCTCAAAGAACAGCTCACAGATTTTAAAACAGGACACAATTGTAATTCAACACCACAAAGCAGCATGCTTCTAACTGCAGCCCCAAATCCTTCTTTTCCTTCCTTGGGACTTTAGCACCCCCCTGCCTAGTCACCCACAGAAGTCCCCAAATACTTGGTAAGGTAGATGGGCCAAATCAACACTGATAGGAGGGACTGAAGAGCCCAAGAACCTTACCTAGAGGCCCCACAGCGCAAGCAGCAACCCCTACCCATCAAGAAGCTATCTAGTCTCCCTGATTTTTACTGCCCAGATCTCAAGATTCTGTCTGGAGAAGAAAGAGTTGAAGGATTTAGCCCTTCCTAATGCCAGCTGGTGTCCAGACATGCTAAGCCTGTACCAGGAATTTCTGGAGAAGACCAAGACCAATGGCTGGATCAAACTGCCCTCCTTCAAGTCCAACAGAGAGCATATCCAAGGGCTCAAGCTCCCATTTGGGCTAGCAGTTACCTCGGGTAAGGCTTGGCCTGAGAGGGCCCATCAGTACACATGTGCCTCTGCCCCCATGGGTCAGGTCAGCCAGCCCCTTTCCCTGTGTTCAGGGCTCTCAGGAAGGAAATTCACAAGCTCCCCAGCCAGGTCTTTCTAATGACTCACTGCACCCCTCCTGCTGCTGTCCCAGGCAGGTGGATGAGAAGGGTTTTCTCTTGGGTCTCTGGCTCCTCTCCTCCCACCTGAAGAGAGTATCCCCTAGTGGCCCGCCTCTGACTCCCAGCCAAGAGTGTCCCCACCGGAGAACTGCAGCTCAGCTCCCGGCCCTTCTGCCTTCTCACGGGTTGTTCTTCCCTTACTGTCAAGCCTGTTCCAGATTCTCCTCCCCTATCCCATGAAGGCCTTTGAGAACGCATCCTCTGCCCACAGGCCCAGAGTGGCTCTCCCCAAACTGCTACCAGGTCAGATTAATAGGGCTTTCCACCTTCAGCTTTCTGTGTTTTTGTGTGGTGTGTGGTGTGTGTGTGTGTGTGTGTGTGTGCGTGCACGTGTGTGCGCACAGTCTTTCTCATTCATTTTTGTGGTTTTCCTGGCCAGTGATGAATGTGTCGTAGAGTAGGAAGACACAAAGGTTTATGACACAAAGTAGGGACACCAAAATAATTGTTTACAAGAATTTGGTATTTATCCAAAAAGGGTATAGTTGTTATAGTTGTCTTGGGAAAAATCAGAACTTTAGTGGCCTTTTCTGCACTTATTTTACTGTTTAGTATTGTTGTTACTTTTAATTACATGAGTTATATTTTTAATTTTCCATGTTTAAGATCTGCTAAAGTCTTGCCCTGACCCTGATCCTGTCCGCACCCTCAGCCAGTGAATTTGCTGAGTGTTTCTCCCTCTAGGCTGAGGACTCCCTGAGACAAGGGCTGAGCCTTCACGCTGAAGGCTCCCCAAGGGCAGAGCCTGAGGCAGGGCTCAACCCCTGGTGCTGAATGACAGGCCCTGCATCCTGACTGGCCCCCGCACCCTCACAGACTCCCTTCTACAGCTACAACACTACCCCTCTCTCCCCAGACATAAGCGACTGGCGCATCTTCACTAGGTGCATCCAAGTGGAAGGACAAGGCTACGAGTACGTCATCTTTTTCCATCCATCCAAGAAGAAGTCCATCTGTCTTTTCCAACCAGGTCCCTACCTGGAGGGGGCTCCAGGGTAAGACCCCAGGCAGAGCCAAATGGGCTATCATGGGCTGCGTCCTGGGCTTGGTTCAGCACGCACCAGGCCCTGGGGCTCAGACTCCCCTGAAGGAGCCCGGTCGGGCGTGCAGAGCACTGGGCTTCAGTCTCAACGGTATCATGCCGCGATGCCATCCTGCGTCATCTGATCTGGCTCCCATTGTGCAGATTAGGGGGAGCCTCCTCATGGAGGTCTGGGAATTTTCCGATAAGAAGAGGCCTTGATCACCACTTTGAGAAGTATGTGGTGAATTTGAAAAAGGATAAGATCTAGAATTAGGAAGTAGGCTTCCAGTTCACTTTGCTGCTACTAGCCTTGGGACCCATGCTAGCAATTTAACCTCTAGCTTTCAGTTTCCTTCCCTGAGAACTGGGAATAACATTATTATTTTTTATTAATTAATTAATTAATAATATATATAATAATAACTGGATAATAATATCTACCTGCCAGAGCCACTGAGAGAGATGATATTTGGGGCCTGTGTACTGAATATAAAACATAATGCACAATATAGCTATCAGATACCACTATCCAAACTTCATGCTTTATGCACAGGCAAACCGAGGCACACAGAGGCACAGTGACTTGCCTGGGTGACACAGGCACTCATGACCAGATCAAGAACTCTAACCTAGAAGTTGGGCCTCCAAGTCCATTGCTCTGTCTACTGTGCTCCACTGCCTCCAAACCTGGTAAAGACCCAGGAAGGAACTCAAGGAAGTTAGGCTGGTCCTTAGCATCTTGCCTAAGGTCCCTGGGCCACCAAGTCCATGGTTGTCTGCCTTCTCTTTCATCTCTGTTCCTGCTTTAGACAGCCACTAAGGTCTGTGCGTGGCACCAGAGTCCCTGAAAGAGAGAGAGGAAAAAGGGGACAGAAATAGGTTTCAGGTCCCAAGGCCCAGGAGAAACTCAGGGCCAGTAAAACAGAATTCAAAGAGGTCACCAGACGTCAGCACCTCCCCAGGTCACGGACTCAGACTGCAGCCCTTGCTTGCCTTGGCCATTCCATGGGTGCCTTCCATGAGGACACTGATCCCCATACTCACACATGGAGACACTGGGACACTAGGTTAGAGCCCTGTGCAGGCCAAGGAATCCCTTCCTTCTGAAGAGGAAAACCCCAGGAGGCAGGAATGGGAATGAAATGTGGCTGACTTTAATTTATGGTTCATAGAGACAGGGCAGGAGAGACAAGGGAGGACCATTCAGCACGGAGGCCAGTGGACTGAGGGGTGCAGAGAAGAGATTAGTACTGAATTAGATAGGCCCAGTTCAGTCTTTCCCCTGCATGGAAAAACCTAGTTCTTCTCTGTCATGTCTTTCTCTCCTTTACTAGTAGTGTGTCTCCTTTACTACTTATGACAATTCTGGTCATCCAGTGTGTGGAAGTATTCCCCACCAAGCGATTCTCCATGACACCAGCTGGGTGTCCTACAACTTAACTCAATTCTAACATCACCTACCTGGAGGAAGTGTCAAATCCCACAGGCTAAGGGCTGTCCCACAGGACTGCTGTCATCCCACTTCAGACTCCAGTCACAGGTACCCCAGGTCACCCACAACTTCTGTCCATTTTGGATACAAATTGGAGGTTCCCATGACCCCCTCCTAAGGTTCCATTAATTTGCTAAAGTGGCTTGCAGAACTGAGGGAAACGCTTATGTTTACTAGTTTAGTAAGGATATATAAAGGACACAGAAGAACAGCCAGATGAAGAGATACAAAAGATGAGGTCGGGAGGGTCCTGAGCCCAGGAGCTTCTCTGTCCCTGTGGGGTTAGATTGTGTCACCCTCCCAATGTGGATGATCACCAGCCTGGAAACCATCTGAACCCATACTATTGGTATTTTTATGGAGGTTTCCTCATGTAGGCATGATGGATCATTTACTCAATCTGCAGCCCCTCTCCCCTTCCTAAAGTATGGGGGATGAGACTAAAAATCCCTATCTTCTAATCACGGATCGGTCTTTCTGGTGACCAGCCCTCATCCAGGAGCCCACCCAGACTTGCCTCATTAGAACAAAAGACATTCCTATCACCCAGGAAATTACAAGGGTTTTAGGAACTCTGTGCCAGGAATTAAGGTAAAAAACCAATATATATATATATATATTTTTTTCTATTCTTTGACAAGTACCCACTCAGCCCCTTCCACTAAGGAGGGGTGGGTTACTAGTGGCCAAAGGCTACCCTGCAGAATCTAGGCATTTGTCAATGCCTGGCCAGTGAGGGTAAGGGGGAAAGAGCAGATTTAGGGTTCTTTAGCACCAACTCCTTTTCCCCTCTTTCAGGCAATATGTGGAAGGAAGTGACTGGAAATGTATGTGAGCTTTTGTAAACATTAACTCATTTAATTTGATGGTTTAGAAATTATTTTTATTTACAATTCATAGTAGAAGAACTGGGACTCAGAGAGGTTTAGCAATTTGCTCAAGATCAAACATGTGGTAGCGTGTGGTGGAGCAAATTGTCAAACCAGGTAGGTGTGGTTCCATGGCCTCCAGCTCTTTCCACAAAGGAAAAGGGAAGCTAGGGCCCAGGAAGAAAGACCATTGGTGGCAGCAGCAGGAGGGTAACCCACTATAACACAGAGGGACAGCTGACCTGGTTCCTGGAGCATCAGATCAGGAGAAGCAGATTAAGAAACTTGAATCTGTTTTGTGTTACCTGCATTCCAAAATTGGGTGGTGTAATATAATGAGTTGGAAGGTACATTTGTCCTCATCCACAGTTTCTGAAAACCCGCAGTCTTAAAGGTGAAGCAGATGTTTTGTCATGTTAATGAGGGACTTTTGGACCCCCCACCGAGGGCCAGGGCCTGGAGGTTGGATTAGCCAATGGCCAATAGTTTAGTCAATCATGACTATGCAATGAAGCCCTCACAAAACCTGCAAGAAGAGCTCTTTGCTCTGCTCTGCTCTCTGCTTTTCCTGCTCTGCTGGTTTGGAACCTGGTTCTTGGTCGGAGAAAGCTTTTACACTTGGGGAACCAGAACACCTCCATGTGCCACCTAGCCAGGCCCCAAGCTCCACGAGAATAGACGCTCCTTTGGGAACTTGCCCTATGTCTCTCTTCATCTGGCTATTAACTTGTATCCTTTATTAAACTGATAAACGTGTTTTCCTGAGTTCTGTGAGCCGCTCTAGCAAATTAACCAAACCTAAGGGGGAGGTCATGGGAACCTCCAGTCTGTAGCTACTGGGGCTTGCAACAGGCATCTGGAGTGTGTTTGGAGGGGGTAGGGGCTAGTCTTGTAGGATGGAGCCCTTAACCTGGGAATCTGGTACTGTCTGTGGGCAGAGAGCATCAGAATTGAGTTGAATTCTTGGACACCCTGCTGGTGTTTGAGAACTGCTTGGTCTAAGTATGTGTGGGAAGATCCCCTCCCCCATACACACATTGGAATCAGGTCCAGGTACCTGAATGAAGTTACACTACTATTACTGCTGTGTGTAAACCGTTACACATGAATATAAGGAAGAAATACACCATGCATTTGGTGTCAGAGATGTTGCAGATGCCCTTCTATTTTCTTCAACTTATCTAACAATGAAGTAGCTTTGGCACAAAAGTCAGCTTACACAAGTGAGGATGAGAATTTTACTCACTTAAAATAAAACAAGTTTTTGCAGGTATTCTGCTGAAGTTGGTTCTTAGCTTTCTGAAGGCAGCACTGCTTAGGAGTCCATCTTGTTGGCACTTTATAGGTCATGAGTTATGTTTCACTTCACCTGCCTTGAAAATGTGGCCTTAGCACTGGCCATAGTGACTGGTAAGGTTAGAGCTGACCCAAGGCCATGCCTTAGAGACTCAGTCAAAAAGTTTAAGGGCTTTTCCTTTCTCTATATAAGTGCACCTTTCCAAATCATGGCAATTGCTGCCAGCAATTAGGTGATGAATCAAAAAAACGCTTTTCTATTAGCTCTATCAGAAAAAATGTTTTCCTGGTAAAATAATTCTATCAATGGTTGCTAACACATACTGAAACAGCGTGGGAGAAAAGTTCAGTTGATTTTGAAGGGTTTGAGCAGACAGGATTCAGCTCTGTTTCCTTTCTTTTCCTGGAGAAAAGTAGAGGCTGTGGTGGTTTTGCCTGCGGGCTGGGGGAAGGCCCAGTGGACAGTCTGCCCAGGCTGCAGTCCTGGCCTTGCTTTCTGCCCTGACTCCAGATTTGCCCACGGAGGGTCCCTGGCAGCCATGATGGATGAGACCTTTTCTAAAACTGCGTACCTGGCTGGAGAGGGACTGTTCACAATAAGCCTTAACATCAGATTCAAAAAGTAAGTACAGATCCTTGGGATGTTGGCCAAAATCACAGTCATTTTCATCATGGAGGGAGTTGCTATCCTCAGCAGCTGGGGTACAGGAGACCTGCCTGCCACCTCTTTTCCCAGTCTACAGCCAAGCAGTTCCTCCAGTCCTTGTTGAGAACACAACCTCTGCTGTCCAACTCTGGGAGCCAGCAAATGGGCTCTGAGGCCAGAGTTAATTCCTTGAGACAGGGTGGGATGAAGAGAAGAATGGGAAGTGGAGTGAAGGGCTTTGGGGGCAGAAGTTCACATAAGGGGTGGGCTAAGCCACTTGCTCTCCCAGCTTGATCCCCGTGGGCTCTCTGGCTATTCTGAATGTGGACGTGGAAAAGATTGAGCACCAGAAGATTCACATGTCCTGCATCATCCAGAGCAGTGACCAGCACACAGTCTATGCCAAGTCCTCAGGTAAAGACACCCTCAGCCTCAGCCCCAGGCCCTGTCCTGCCACCCGACCCCCAGAGTTAAGGGCCCAGTCCCAAGCTGAGGTACGACTTTTTAGAGTGGGACTGGGCACCTGCTATAGACACAGATGAAGTGAGGGAGAACCTAACCAGGCCTTTTTTTCTATGTATGAGTGGACAATCTGTACAAGGATGTGTTCCAGGTACCGAATGACTGAGACCTCCAAGCATGTGTTCAGAGCGCCTGTTGCGCTCCAGCCATCTCTGCCCAGTCCTACCTCTCAGGTCGCCCTTCTCTTGCAGCTGTTTTCCTTCAGCTGCAGCTGGAAGAAGAGTCATCACAGTAACAGTCAATACACCTTCAGGAGAGCCCACGCTGACCGCCCAGGAGCCTCTGCAGAGCAGGGAGGGGTCTCCAGGGAGTGACTGGCGAAGTGAGGGTGAGGGTAAATAAAGTCTCTGAGTAGATAAAGTTTCACAGCCCCAATTTCAGCCCAAGACCCTTCTGTAGTAGGAAATCAAAATCCGACCAGGGCCACACACAATCCCACCTTCTCATTCAGTGCCAACAGAAGAGACTGGCACCAGCTGAGGCATCAAGCTCACAGCAATGAAAGGCAGTGCCCCTGGCCTTGAGTTGCACAGTTGCTGGCCAGGAACAGAGCATCCCACCAGCTCCTCCCACTCCACCCCCAGCTCCTGCTATGGGTGCAGTGTAGACACAAAGAGAGAAAGGACCAATTTAACTCTATGAAACTGATAAAAAGACTTTCTAGAGGAAGCTGTGTTTGAAACAAGTCTTAAAAGTTAGGCGGTGTTCAGCAGGTAAGCAAGGAAGGGGGAAGGACTCCAGGCAGAGGGATGGTAAGAGCTAAGGCCCAGGGGGTGAAAGAGCACAGTGACCTCGGAGAAGGGCAAAGTGCTGGGTGGGGCAGGAGCTTAGGGAAAGAAGGGAGAGGAGCGGGAACAGGCCATGGAAGGCTTCATAAACCCTGCTTTGGAGCTTGAACTTTGTCTTCTAGGCAACTGGGAGCCCTTGAAGGGTTTGGGGTAGGGAATGACATATAGTTTTGTTTTTTAGAAAGATGGCTCTGGTGGCATTAACTGGTCAACAAGACTGAAGGTGGAGCACTGGTTAGGAGAATCCTGCTGGGCTCCAAACTAGAGATAGTAAGGGCCAGCACTGGTCAGAACCATGATGATAGGAAATGTGGGAAATGTTACCAACAAGAGATGCAGGACTTTGTCACTGATTGTATATAGTGGATCTATAAAGAGGAGCTTTCAAGGGTGACTCCAAATTTCTGGCTTGGGAATTCTAGATGGCATCACTGATAATATAAAGGAGCAGGTTTGAGGTGCATGTAGATATTTAGCTCAGTTTCATATGCATTGAGCTTTCACTTGCATTGAGCTTGAAATGCTCATGGCACTTCCACCACATGGTAAGCTCCAGCAGAAAGGAATATTGTGATCTGGAGTTCAAGACTGATGAACTACTGACCCAATTTGTAAGTCATCAGTATAAAAACTGACCTAGAACCCCTGGGAGTGGATTGTGCAGAGTGAGTGAGGAGGCAAGGGGACTGGCAGTGAGGAAAGGGGAGAGAAAGGAAGGGCAAGGAAGGGGGCCAGGGATAGAGCCTTCATTCACACTAAGGCTTAAGACAGGGACAGAGGACCAAAGACCCACCAAGGAGGCCAGGAACAGGACAGGAGTGACTGTCCTTAAGAGGGCAATGTCTGTGATGTCAAATGCTGAAGAGAAGGCATGGCAGATGAGAACTAAAAGGAGGTCTTTGGATTTGGTGACAAGGAAGGTGATGGTCTTCTTTGCCAGGAGATGGAAGCAAAATCCAGATTATGGTGGATGAATAAATGAATGGAAATGACAAAGTGAATTTAGATGATTCTTTCTAGGAATTTCATTGTTGTTATTGTTATTTAAAGAAAGATGCTTGAGTATATTTATAATTTGCTTTGGAATAAGCCAGTGGAGAGAGGCTGAAACTCTAAGAGAGAGAGAGATGCAGAAGACCTGCTATCTGGTCTTAGAGATGGGTCAAGAGCACAAGTGGACATAGGGGTCATGGCAGTATCAACATGACTCTGAGACCAATAGTAAAGGGGTGGTGCAGAGCAGGACAAGAAGTTGAAGGGCTTGATGCCAGAGTGCTTTGTCTTCCTTGGTGAAATACGAGGGAAGGCCATCAGTGGGGAAAGAGGTCTTGAGGAAGGACAATGATTTGAATAAGCCACTGTGGGGATCAGGAAATAAAGTGGCTGAGTACATGTGGGTCAAGGCATGCTGAAGGGCCAGCTGCTAGTGGAAAACACGTATCTGGAGTGGCACCAACCTGGGGTAAGGGAAGGTATGAGCCAGCTGGAAATCTAGAGGGGCAATGGCAGATAAGACAGGTGAGAATGGTGGTGAGGGAGGAAAGGGTAACATGACTGGTACACATTTCTATGGAAAAAAAAGATTTTTGGTTTTTGTTTATTTTTTATTTTTTTATTTTTACTTTTTAATTTGAGGTACATACAATAAAACATACAAATCTTAGTCCACAGTTTGATGAGTTTTGACATGTGTATACTTATGTAACCATCACCCAGATCACGATATCAAACATTCTCACTAATTTTTTCCTTTCACTTATTTCACCTCCCCTCACTCCCCTACCCTGTGGCAATCACCAGTCTGTTCTCTGTGTTTATGGGTTTATTTCTATTTTGTTTGCTTTATTTTTTTAGATTCCGTATATAAGTGAAATCATATGCTATCTGTCCTTCTCTGTCTGACCTATTTCACTTAGCATAATACAGAAGGAAAAAACACAATACAATGCTCACTTGACATTGACATGAAGGAGGAGAACACAGACTAGAGGAGGCACTGGCCATCCATGAGAAGCCACCCTCTAGGCCTGCAGAGGATGGTGTAGGAAGCTTTTGGGAAACAGGGACAGGCAGGATTCCACTGAGGCCAATCGGTGGAGGGAATGTCCATGAGGCCATGAAGAATTAGAACTGTTTTACCAAAGAATGAGAGCTCCAGGAGACATATCATAAAGGATTTTATTATTAGGCATGGTAAAACCAAGTGTTGAAACAGATAAACCACTATATCTCCATTGCCTAGCCTGTATATTAATCAGAATGTACTTCTCATCACATAAAGTCCAATTGTGGGCATCAAGGAACCACTCAGGAAACTGGCTGAGAAAAGCTCTGCCATCTTCAGTACATGGTTTCCAAAGTCATCCTGGGTATTGACATCCAGGTGCCAGATAAGAGAAGAGAGAATCACAAGGGATGTGTTTTTAGGCCAAGTCTCAAAGTATTTCCATTTATCAGAATTCAATCGCAAGAGAGATTGGTTGGAAAATACAGTCTAATTGCAGTAAAGAGGGAACTGGGTTTGTTGAATAGCTAGCAGCCACTGCCTCAGTTTGAGAGTAGGATCAGCAGAGGAAGGAAGAATCTATGTCCAAACCCTTACCCTGACAAGCAAAGAATTCTAATTCAGTCCTAAGCTGAGTTTCCAGGATCTGGGGCTGGGATTGGAGATTCAGGGCATCAGAGAGAATGAAAGCCTTTGTGGCATGGAACAGGGTCAGAGAGTTAGACACAAATTCATCAGTGGTGGGAGGTAGGTGAATTAGGTTCTTTTTCTAGTAACTAGACCACACACTCCTAGCCAGAAATCTTGTGCCAACCAATTATTCCCTTCCCCATATACTTAAGAATTTTTTCTCTTTCTCCTCTTGTGCTTCCCCAGTTGGCCAAGATAATTTATGAACTCAGAATCACTGAATACCACAATTGTCCTTCATTCATGGTCAAGAAGAGCCTAATCTTCATCTAAACACTCCCAAGAGAAGAAGGGAAATGTATTCCATCCTTCCTATGCAGTCAAGAAAAGGAAGAAAAACAAAACAGTTGTATTTGAATTTCCATATTAAAACAGGTTGAATGCATCCTGGCAATTCTCTTCTGGGTCCAGTATCTAATAGAAACAGGCATAAGTTCAAAATCTACAGAGGTGGAAGGCTCTCAATCAAGTCCCCACAGTCAGGCTGGGAGTGTCAGCCTTGACTGGATGAGGCCAGTGGGCTGGCAGGGATCTTGAACAGAAAACAAAGTCATTAGCTGCTGAACACTTCTCTAGTGGCTAGGCCTTTGATAGATGCCTCTCCTCTCCCAGGACGCCAAGTATTGCTTTCTAGGTAGAAACAAGGGGAACTGCTGCTTTCACACTTTAAAAGCCCATTCCCATGTGTAGTACATTCATCTGGAATGCAACAACTACAGAGGCAGATGGGGTCAAATCCAACAAACCATCCAGGCAAATAGGGCAGCTTATTCTGCTTGAAGTAGAGGATATGTTGTCCAGATGCCTGAGTCAAGTGCCAAGAGAAACCAGAGTGAATAAGGCAATTATAAGAACAAACAGTTCAAGAAGGCAGGGAACATCACTAGCTCATACCAGCTACCTTAAAGTAGGGGCCCTATGCCTTCCTGGAACTAAGACTGCAGAGCTAGGCCATTCATCAGAGGTCCTAGGGGAAGAGCCAAAGGTCTAAAACACTGTTTATCACCAACCCCATCACCCATAGTTGAACACTAGCAGCCAAGTCATGCAACCTGGGGCCCCTGCTCAAGGCCAAGGGACAGAGAGCTTAATGAGACCCGAAAACCCAGGGAATCTATAGCAGCTTCCCACCTCCCTGGAGGAATGGCTGGACCCCTCTCAGCCATTTCATCTGACTTGAATCCAGGAAAGCATTCTGTACTGCCCAGTCCTCTAATTGTACCAGCAAGAAAAAGGAGGCCAGGGCCCTCTGTCTCCTACGAAGTTCTCAGTGGCAGCAATGGTGCTGGAAGAGCTGAAGAGGCAGCACTTTGGGTCCTCATTCAAGGGAGCAGCTTTGCTCAAATTCAAAGACTCCTAACATACAAAATAACAATGCTCCTTGATATAGAGAATCTGGGTTCTAGTCTCAACTCTGCTGCTGTCTGGCACATGATCTCTTTCTGGGCCTATTTCCTGATCTATAGAAATGAGAGGGTAGATAAGGTAATCTTCAAGATCCTTCCAGGTCTGATATCTTATTGTTCTAATTAAATCAACTTTTGGCTACCCAGTGTGCCAGTCATTTGCTTGATTGCTCTCACATCCCCGTCCTTCCCATAATCTGCCCTAGATTGCCATGGGGGATGGGGGTGCGAGGGGCTAGTGCCTACAAACTACATTTCCCAGTCTCCTTTGTCTTTGTGATCTGGCTTTGAAAGGCTCTGGTAGCAGATTGGAAGGTGGGAAGTAGGGAGAAGTAGGGGTATTTCTCCTTTTCTCTGCTTTGGAAAGCAATTCAAGAGAGCCCTCACCATCCTGTTTGCTTTTTAAGCTCTTCCAAGATCTTTGTAACAAGTTCCCTGTGTGAAATTCTCTCTGTTGAAGCACCCAGCAACAGCAAGTGCTGTTTGCCTCACCAGACTCTGACTACTATGGCCAAGCTGTGGATTATCTACAGTCAGTTTTCAGTCTCACTCCTGTATAGACCAGGAGGTGTGCGCTCTTTTATGCACCCTTAATTTTATTGATCAAGAGAAGGAAATGGAAGGGGAGAAGGAACAGGAAAGTGAACTGTCAAAGATTAAGCACAATCCTGGTTAAATCCATATCTCTGTGCATTTTCCCCTGAATGCTGTACAGCTGAACACAGCTTTAGGAAAAACACACAAGAACAACATTCAAATAATTCTCCTTTCTCTCTTCTGCATTATCAATTTTCCCTTTTTTATTGGCTCTTTCCCATCAGCATACAAACTTACCATTATTTCTGTCACTTAAAAAGTTCTCCCTTAGAGGAGATTCAAGATGGCAGCATGAGAGTTGAGATAGAGAACTCCTCCCAAAACCACAGATAATGTGAAAATATAGTTAGTATAACTAACCTTAAAACAGCAACAGGAAAAAAGACTGCACCAGACTGCATACAGACCTCACAAACAGAGCAGACCTCACAAAACAGGGTAACGTACCAAAGCCTTGAACTGGCGGGACACAGGCCCTTTCCCCACCCCAGTTCACCAGCGGGAAGAAGAGAAACAGAGTGGGGGATGGGGTGGAAGCCTGGGACTGCTGAACACCCAGCCCTGGAGGTCTGCTTTGGGAGCAGAAACCTACATTGTGTGGTGCTTTGGAGGATGGGGAGCTGGGACAGGCATAGTACTTGAGAGACAGATTCTGGTGGTTTGTGGAGGACAGGGATCCACATCTGGCTCCTCTGGGCCAAGGGAATGGCAGGTGGTCTGAGAGGCTTCTGCGCAGTGAGAGGGCTGCTGAAGGGGCAGGTTTGCAAGGAGCTTGCTACATGGGAGAAGGGAGCGCTGGACAAGGTTGTCTGGGGGCACACCCCCCAGTAGACTGGGAACTTTGAGGAGCTTCAGGCACTCCATCCCCCTGGCTGGCTACTCAGCTCCGAGGACCTCCCCAGCTGTGATACGCAGTCTGCTGAGCCTTCCTCCTGGCCTGACAGTGCTGGCTCGCAAACCGGCAGTCACTGCACTGGTGTCAGGCCAGTCTGAGGGAGGCCCTGCCTACAACACCTAGAGACACTAAGCACAGAGGCTTACACCTGTGTACTCAGTCCACTGGCTCTGATATGGAGATAGGCACAACAGACAGGAATCAGGAAACAGACCTTTCCTCCCCCCAGGCACCAGCTCCACTGTCTCACTCCACTCACTCTAGGGGCTGAGCAGCTCCAGAAAGACTGGAGTTTCTGGGCACTAGAGGGCACCACACAGAAATATGAAACATCAAAAGAACATGCTTCAGACCAAAATCTCACAAACCCAGAAAAAGGGCCAAATGAAACTGAACTCACCAATCTTCCTGAAAGAGGTACAGAAAAATATTCAAGAACTCAGAGACGAATTTAAGATGGAGATTCAATCATTTAGAAATTCCATATCTGAAATGAAACATACAATGGAGGGATTTAAAAGCAGATTAGATGTAGTAGAAGAGACAATAAATAAAATAGAAATCAGAGAAAAGGAATACAAAGAAACTGAGGCACAGAATGAAAAAAGGATTTCTAAGAATGAAAGAATATTGAGAGAACTCTGTGACCAATCCAAATGGAACAATATTTGCATTATAGGGGTACCAGAAGAAGAAGAGAGAGAAAAAGGGATAGAAAGCGTCACTGAGGAGGTAATTGCTGAAAACTTCCCCAATCTGGAGAAGGAGATAGTCTCTCAAGCCATGGAAATGCACAGATCTCCCAACACAAGGGACCCAAGGAAGATAACATCGAAGCATATAATAATTAAAATGGCAAAGATCAAGGATAAGGACAGACTATTAAAAGCAGCCAGAGAGAGAAGTAAGATCACATACAAAGGAAAACCCATCAGGCTATCATCAGATTTCTCAACAGAAACCTTCAGGCCAGAAGGGAGTGGCATGATATATTTAATGCAATGAAGCAGAAGGGCCTTGAACCAAGAATACTCTACCCATCAAGGTTAT